CACTGTAGGTGATGCGGTCACAGATTTGTGTGTTGGAAATGCACAAATGTAGATGTGACTCAGTTTCATCTGAAGACCTTTTCTGCCCTAGTGCTGATATGGTGGCAGGATGTAGACCAGAGGGAACGAAACGGAATCCCTGCATAAAAGTGGAAAGTGTTAGGTAAAAAGAAGACACGTGTTATGCCATAGCAGTGAACAAGTTTATGGACGTGTTATCCTGATAAATGGTTTAATAGCACAGTAAAGAAACCATCGAATGCCTACTCTTGAGATACTGGAAAAACTTTCTCATGGACTGCAACATGTTGCCTGTGGTTGAGGAAATAAGCATCGTGACTGTCCACAGCCCAGATTTAGGACCAGTGAAAAGAACAAGGCTTAAAGATAAAGCAGAGCAGAAAACAGAGTAGAAGTAGTTTTCCCCATTATAAGAAAGGTTTTGGGTATCTACTACTTCATACTCTGGCAATTCTAGTGTTACCAAACTCCAGTAACAGAGGGATGAAAGATCACTGGGACCACTATTGCTACAGGGGGGCACATTTCAGCCACCATTAAGAGTCTTTGGTGTGTGAGACAGTGAAGAAAAATACTGGAATTCTGTGAGGCCTGAAACACACGTCAGTAAATAATATTTTATCAATGCTTATATTTGTCAAGTGGGTACATGCATTTTATAGTGACTTTGGTTTTATTAACTGAGGTAAACTTAATAATCAAGAATTTTCCTGATATAGTCCTGTTACTGTTTTTTCTTCTCAGAAATACTACATGAGAATTTAAAGCAGTGCCTAGCATAGAATAGTAGGCCCCTTGGAAATTGGGTGTTGTAAAGTGTAATGCTTTGGAAAGGCTGAAATATATGGGAGGCTGTAAAAATATTTTATGATATTAAAATGTAAAGCAGAAGATAAGTTAAAGCAACTCCGTTTGAGGAGTCATGCCTGTTAATCTGTAGCATAAGCTCAAATTTGTAGTTGAAAACAATTTTCTGAAACTTGACTAGGCTGGTTTCTGTGTTATTAGGGGCAGGAACACCTCTCTATTAAAAGCAGTTTGCTTTTTAATAGGGTTTAACCATAATTGTCCAGTTTTTGCTGGTTGTTCAAAATATTTCCACCTCAGGTTGGTCAAGTATTGTTGGCTTCATCTCAGTTGCTACCAGCATTCAACAAAAATGATGCTTTAAGCTTGTCTTTCAGTGAATCACATGTTTTTACAATAACAGATTTGTTTGTTAAATGAATTTAAAGATAGAAATAGATGAGACAGTATTCAGGGTGAGTCACCTTCTCGTCCATCTTTCTCTCTCTCTGAACTGTCCTATTTTAATCAAAAGGAGTATTTTCACAGCAAAGCGCAGCTCTAAGATGTGCGTCAATACGATCCCAGTTTTTGTGTCACTGACTGCTTGTTTCAGTTTAAACAAATAGTAAATTCCATAAGAAATGGCATAGCCCTTGCTTATTTCACTGTTTCTATTAGTTTTGACATTTATCTATTCCTTAGGCTACAGGTGAGCAAGGAATGCTGATTTGGACTTGTACCACCTTGTGCTGCTGTACTAAAGATGACAATGGAGTATTTTCCAAATGTCAGTCAAATACTTGCTATCTTTTTTTAATAAGCAGATTTGCTAGTCTCCCTTTTATGCTATCTTTTCTCGCAGTTGCTTGCCTTTTTGTCCTTCCTGCTCTTAAATCCCTCAGTTACGCTAGCTTGGTGGAAATTGTTTAAATGTACAACCCAAATTCTCCAGTGAGGTTTGGCTAACCAAGAAGCTATTCAAGTGGTTTTGTCTCCCGGGTATGTCTTCATCCTCTGCTTTTCCAGGTTGCTTGAATATCCTTGAACCCATAATTTACTCTAATCTCCTCTAAGGCTTTGAAATAATAAAATACTTAAATAAAACTCTTTGGATAAATGCCCTTTAAAATATAGCTTTATCTGTGAACTATCACGCTCTCAAGGGAGTGGATTTTGTTCCTCAGATGATTAAGGGGATTTTCTGTCCACTGTGTTACTGCGGTTTGTCCACTGCGATCAGGCATACCCATCTTAACTCCTGCAACAACTCAAAACAGAAAAGATGAGGAGAGCCTGGGAGAAAAATGGGACAGAGGCTAGACTGTTGCTCTGTGGGATGTTTTTCTGGTGCCTGGGTTCAGTTCCCTGATCTACCACATGATTTTCTGTGGGTCACGAAGCCTTCCTGTGCTTTTGAAAACTAATTCTCCGCTCAACAGGGATGTTGCTGAGGATAAATTAAGGATGGCAAAGTGCCTGGCGATTACAGAGCAGTAGTCTTATACACACAGAAAGGCTGTACTTAGATCCTTACTTCACAGGATAGGAAGAGGGAGATCACTTGACTTGCCATCGCCAAATCCATAGGGGAAATCTGAGGCAGAGCAGGGGACTGGGTCCAATTTTTCTGCCAGAGGCCCCATGTGGTCCGTTTTTCCTTGAAAAGTCCTTTTCACAGTCTAGGACTATCTATCTGTTTAGGACTAAACCCTGAGTCCTGCAGATACCTCCCAGGCAAGAAAGGGAGGCTTGGAGGACGTCACCAGTCCCCCAGCGCTGCAGCTCATCAGAGCACCTGGTCAGGCCCTGGAGACCCAACATAATTTGGAGATTGATCACAGTCATGGAAGCCCGTCTTCACTGTTGCTCATTTTGCAGGTAAAAGGAGATGACCTCAGTTTTTCTCCCTTCCTAGTCAGCTCAGCTGATTATTAATTTCTGTTAGCAAAATGGATCTGCAAAATAGCACTGAAGGGAAAGGGGGGGGGAACATTTCTTCCCCACTTCTGGAGCTCTCTAGCTACATTCCAGGAATAAAGGTTTGGGGCTTGTGTGTAATTTGTGAGTAATTTGCTTCTGAAGCTAATTATTGTTAAAAATGAAAAGTTGCTCAAAAACACTGGGAAAAGCAAACTCTCCTTTTTATGTTACTGTGCCACTAAAACATAAAAATTCTTGTCAAAATCCATTATTTTAAAGTGATACCTTTGAGATTGTCTCCATTTTCAGGCATACGCTCCAGAAAGGCATCTGTATTTCCTCACATTAAGTGACAGGAAATGCAAATAGACCACAGTTTAAGTATGAAGATTATGGAGATTTATGACTCTCTGTATATGTTTCATGTGTAATAAAATGCAGGGAAACTATATGTAGCAAACGTTTTCTGATTTTTTTAGCTTGTACTCCTCTTTCCTGCTCAAATACTACTCTTTGTCCTCTTTTTCTGCTTGAGATTTTCCTCCTGTTAGTCTCAGTTTCTCATCTGAAGTTCAAAATTTTCTGTACCTGAGGTGTATGATGATGAAGTAACACCAATGAAACCAGTGCTTCAGCTGGATGAAGACCTTTTCTCAGGTGCCTCCTAATGCTTAGGAGAATTATGATCTTAGAATTATTATATGGAAGCTCTATGCCTTGCTTAATTTTGTGCTTATTCAGAAACAGCAAAATGACAGAGAAATTAATCTGAGGACTGAGTGCACGTCCTCCCTAGTCCCTGCTTTTCAGAAGCTCAGAAGATAAAGTACTATCTTTGTTTTTGGCTGGCATGCAGAGGTATCAGAAACTATTAGTTTTTTGGCAGCGTGTTTCAGGGTGAGCTGCTCCTGCTTCTCACAATGCCAAGGACGACGCCAAACTCATCAGCCGTGCCTGTAGTCTTGGGAGTGGAGGGATGAACAGTTAGACCAGCTTCAGTGTGGCTTCGTGGCAAAACTAGAAAGGGGAGCATCTGTTGAAAATCATAATGGGGACAGCCTAAATTACTTCTGTCAGCCTGTACCCACTAACTGCCTTCTGGAGGAGACAAGATTGAATTTCTGATAAAGAGAGAATGTGTGGTGCAATGGGCAGAACTGACAGGGTTTGAGCAGCAGGGGCCTTGCATCTTCTCCAGTGCGAGAAGAGAACACGAACTGCCCTCTACCAATCCAGAAGAAAAATACTGTAGCCCATAGGTGACCCACACTGTCGCAAAGACATTCCCGAGGGACCATGGCCTGTGGGCAAACCATGCTGGAGCAGGGACACCCCTGAGGGTTTGCAGTTATGGGCAACCCATGCCAGGGCTCAGAACATGCTCAAAACATCAGTCAGAAGTTTTTGTTGCTTGGTAACAATTTAAATAAAATTATTTATTTGACTCCAGGCTGTTTTGCACACAGCCTGGTTCAGGTTTTGTCTTTTCTGCTCACCCATGGTGGGGCACTTTGGAACGACAGCTGAGACTTCATTGTGAATAAAAGTGGTGTCGGTGGAAAAATTGCAAGCTGTAACATTTCCCTCTTCAATCTTGGCATATATTTTTATAGGCAAGCATGTGCACAAATACAAATATTTCTACAAAATAGATCTGAAGTTTCTGTTTTGTTGAGGAGTCTTTAGATTTTTAATATGGGCATTTCAAGAATAAATGATCTGTTGTGTTTCATAAGGTGCTTCGTAAGGTTCTCCTGCCTCACTCATTTTCTCTTCAGGCCTCTTGCACTGAGGCTATTGGACATATTATGGGTATAATTTTAGATGAGTATTGATGTTATAAATCCTGTTTGGATCTTAGAATGGACTTTTCAGCTTGTTGTAGACTACTTAATGCATAGCTAACAAAATAGACAAGTTTCCCTTGCTGTCTCATTTTTGTTGTGAAGATTGTTTCTGCCATCACTGGTTTTGCTGTAAAGACTCCAACCTGCTGTGATCAGCTTCATAATGGTTGAAGGAGATTGAGAGATTTCCTAATTGCAGTAGTGGATTTACTGTATGTTACAGAAATGTTGCAATCACTACTATTTCAAAGCAGCAGCTGAATAACTCCAGATATAATGAATCAGCTATTATTTCAATAGGCTAAAAAGGCAAAGTTTTCGGTTCAGTTTTGGATAATATTTATGTCTTCCTTGGGGAAGGGGATCACAGAGCAGTTTTCGCATGGGAATAGCATTCCTACAGCACTAATTTATTTTTTCTAGTTTCTGAGAGTGGACCAAGACAAAGACAGAGAATGCAGCCTGGACTGTGCAGGTTCCCCCCAGAAATCACTCTGTGCATCTGATGGAAGAACTTTTCTGTCCCGGTGTGAATTTCAGCGAGCAAAATGCAAAGACCCTCAGCTGGAAATAGCCTACCGGGGCAACTGCAAAGGTGAGCAAATCAAAGTTTCTCTTGATCATAATGAGAAATAATAAACTGTAAATAGTTTTTGAAAATGTCCATATATTGAAAACTAGGAATTCTGTACTTGAAGGGTTTTCTAAAAGCAAGGAGGTTGAAATCCATCCTGTTGATTTTATAACAATATGCTACATAAAGATAAATTAATCTTTATACATCAGGAAAAATATGACCCACCCACCCATTTACACTATAATGAGTCACTGTTAAGGAAACTGTAAAGTTAGGTCCTTTTTCTGAAGGACCATGACAGTGGCAGGCTCAGAGTAACTCTTAAGATTGTTATCTCCCAAGGTTTCTTGTCTACTGCAGTTTGGTATTTTGAGTTAGGGATGGTCAAATTCAGTCTCGTGCTTTCTAACTGCAATCATTTAGTTGGTGGGGGTAGGGGGAGAGAGAGGAAAAAAAAAAAAGAAAAAAAAAGTTTGCAATGCTTAGAGCCCTCACAGTCCATTCCTACCTACGTCATCCACTCTTTTACTTCTCATCTCTGTTTAGAGAAACTGTGCAACATGCAACCGTAGCACTTGAGTTCCAATACTTATTCCCAGTTAAATCTTTTCACTTTTAGAGTAGCCTGATGCTAGAGAACACAATTCCTTACTGAAGTGTAGGGTGATTCCCAACACAATTATCTTCTTTCTAAAATGTAGGAATAACAGTGGTCACAAAGATTTACTTTCCCTTTCTCTCTGTCCAAAAGAAAGGGGCGGGGGGGGGAGGAGACCCCAGGGACCACACTGATTCAACCTCTAGGAGGCAATTTTCCACATCATCTCTCTCCATTAGCTCCAGCAAACCTCTGAAGCATCAAGACTGTTTCAAAGAGACATTCTGTCTCATCTTCTGCCTAGATGAAACACTATGCTCATTCTTCAGCCCTTTCATAGTAAGCCATTGTATTAGCTGATGGATCTATTTACTTTTGTGAACAAGGATAACATAATGAAGCTACCTGAGCCAAAGCTTTTGTTACACTCCTGAATAACAGAGAGAATTATTGTGCACTTCGTATTTGTTCATTTTATACATTAGAGCATTATAGACTTCTATGGAAATCAGTTTTGAGTGTCTTTGTTATTAATTTTTCCTCTTACCATATTGACAATGTCATCTGCAAGAAATTTTTTTCATAAAGATGTGTTGAATTGCCATACTGAAGGTGTCCTTAGCGATGCTGGCAAATTTTTCTGCAGTCAACAACTACAGTTTGGGGAAGTCCTCATTTGCTGTTTATTTAATAATGAATAGTGTGTCAGTACAATTGTAGACTTGGAATTAGACACCTTAAGCAGCTTAAGTAGTGCTAATAGCAAGTACACATCATGCCCTCATCAATCTGGTGCTTTTAATCTTTCAATTAAATAAATGCAAACATCACACATTAAACATCACAATGTTTAAATATGTTCTCCTTTGACTGGCAGTAGACACGTTTGCCAATAATATATGTGGTCAGTATCAGCAAGAGGCCAGTGCTCTTTTAAATTTTACATTTTCATAGTATTTCTTATTCAATCAAAGCAGTCTTAAATTTTGAAGTGACCAATGTCTTTACTCCTACCCATGGCTGCAGTCATCAGAAATATTACAAGCTGTAAAAACAAGTTTTAGAGAAGAAAAAGATGATTCGTTGGCATAGCTTCAGTTTCAGTTTTAGCATTACTAGAGCTACTTTTGATAGTCCCATCAAACATTCTTCTGAAAGAGCTAAGGAAGTCCTCAGATTAAGACTTCTTTTGAGCCAGTTGCTTTTGAGTGGTGAAATTTGTTGTTGCAGGTGACGCTTGATCAAAGAGCAGAGGGTTGTTTTAATAGGGCTAACCAAAAAGTGATGGTTCCATTTCAGGGCAACTTTCAAGGTTACAAAATTTGTTTTCATTCCGTGTTGGAATGAAAGCAAATCCTTTTGGAAGTGTTCATCTGTCCTTCTGAAAAACCAGACACCCCCCTGTCCCCATTAAAAACATTGGTTATGAAGCAAGTTTTGAGGTTGCTAATGCAGGAAGAAGGGAGAGAAACATGCATAGTTTGCATGTGGAAGTTATGAAGAGAGAAAAGAGATGATTCCTGATAGAGGATTCACAACTTTACATCTGTGTCTGATATTTATCCATCAGTGATCAGAAAAGGCAGTCTTAAGTCTGTATCTGTCTCCTATCTTTTTCTCAGGTAAAAATGCCTGTTCACCTCACAGAAATCCTGTCTGAAAATTACATACTTGCAGGTACTATTTTAATTAGTTGAAAACATGGTCACCAGCTTTTTGTTTGGTTCAGTCTATTTACTAGAATTCTAAACACCTTGACAGTTTATGTCAACAACCTTTTGGAATAATTTTGAGTCAATCATTTCTTGTTTATATATTCAGAACTGTGATTTCTTTTTACATCCACAAGGGAGGTTGAAACACTACAAGACTGATGGCTGCTTTTTCTGTGTATTTTTCCTGAGAAAACCAAATTTAGATTGACTCTCTTTTCTCCTCCTCACCTGTTCTCAACATTTGTCTCATCTATTTGGTTTTGAACACTCAAGTACTAAAATTACAAAGGGATATTTTGCTTTAAATATGCTTGCTTTCCTTTCTTAAATAAGTTTCGTTCACAGCAACAGTGCTCAGCCCAGGTAATACTTTAGCATTGCAAAGGAAACCATTTTTAGATGCTGCATCTTAAAACCAAATGACAGAAAACTGGCAGAATGAATCATTTTCTTTTCTCACATTCCTGTCCTTCTAGTTCCCGATGGCTGCAGCAGAGATCAAAACTGCTTAAACAAACCTGAAAATGAATGAACCCTGAACCTTCCCCTCAGTTCTGAAAAACAACTCACCTTTGACAAAATAAGCATCAAAATCGTCTGTTCTGATAGTGGGCTTTTCTGAAGACATTACAAAGTTTTATAATATTTCCTTTTTTTTTTTTTTTTTTTTTGCAGTCCACTTCTAGGCAGTGCTGGAATCCATTGCTAAGCTTGGAAATGCTATAAGAAGTTACAATCTTGTAAAATTTCAAAGGTCTCAAACAATGTGCCTACACTGCAGATGAACACTCACATGTTTGGGTACTTTTTCAAACAAAATTTAATCTAAACTCTGAAGTTCTGGAGATTTGCCATTTACTTGACACAGACATTTACAGCAACAAGATGACGAGTCTAATAAATAAATGTGTGTTGACAGCTGAGAAATATTATTTGTGTTAGGGGGACTGTTAAAATATCACCTGTGAGTGGAATCCACTATGCACGCACAAATGCTTCACAGTGAATCTGGCCTCGTACAGCCAAAGAAACAAAACATACAAGAAGTGGAAAAGCGATATGGTTGCTTTTAAGCTGGTCAGAAAGACACAGAGGCTATATCTACACTAATTAATTAAGCAGTGCCTGGACACGGTATGACCGCCTTCACAGGTAAGCTGGTGGAGTGCTCCCTGTTGCACTTGGAGCACGGGCAAGCTGGTGCTTTCCCAAGGACTGTGTCTACGTGCCTTGGAGCTTAGATGGGCCAGGGACTGTTCCCAGTAGGCAGCATGCACAGAGCCACCTTGTTTTAGGGGTTTAAGGCTGTTGAACCTGAGAACTGAGCCTGGCTACTCTTACAGGGCTGCCCTGATACATGCCGGGGTGCATCTCTTCCTATGACTAATCCAAACTTGGGCACAAGTCCTTTAGCACTCAGCCTTGTTCTCTCCTCTACAGCTGGTGAGGGGGGGACTGGAGAGTTCTGGGGGTCACACAGGAAGGCTACAAAACTGAGCCTTTTGTACTCTGTCAGTGCATGCAAAAAATACAAGTTGAAGATGAAGATGAGGACAGGCTGAGAGAGTTGGGGTTGCTCAGCCTGGAGAAGAGAAGACTTCGGGAAGACTTTATAATGGCCTTTCAGTACCTAAAAGGGGCCTACAGGAAAGCTGGGGAGGGACTCTTTTTGAGGGGGTGTAGTGACAGGACGAGGAGTAACGGCTTTAAACCGGAAGAGGGTAGATTTAGGATAGATATTAGGAAGAAATTCTTTACTCTGAGGGTGGTGAGACACTGGAACAGGTTGCCCAGGGAAGTTGTGGGTTCCCCATCCATGGAAGTGTTCAAGGCCAGGTTGGATGGGGCTTTGAGCAACCTGGTCTAGTGGGAGGTGTCCCTGCCCATGGCAGGGTGGTTGGAACTTCATGATCTTAATGTCTCTTCCAACTCTAACCATTCTATGATTCTATGAAGTTTCTTAGTCTTGAAAATAGGACCAACCATGCAGAAGTACCATGTCTAGGGAAAAAAAAAAAGAGGAAAAAACGTGATTTTAAAAAGGGAAAAACCCAACCCTTTAAATTATATCTCTGGACGATGTAGATGCCATTATGATTAGGGAGTGTTGCCCGGCACTGCAGTCTACTGTAGGGTTGGTAGCTACAGTTTTACATTTAATGGGGATTTTACATGATTTGGAACATGGTATTCGTTACTCTAAAAGGCTGTTCTTGTATGGAAACTGAAATGCACAGGAGATCAGCTAAAAGCATCTTCCCCAGCAGAAATGGGAATAGCATTGCTGAGATCTCCTTTGTCTTACAAATGTAAGACTGACTGTCACAAATTGTGATAGATGAGACTACCTGAAACTAATGGTTTGGGGTTTTTTCATGGAGAATCTTGTACACCCCATATGAAGAAGTCTGGTTTGTTTTTTCAGTTGTGGTTTTTTTTTTTTTTTTTCTCCTGTAGGTATTCACAGTTACTCTGTAAAATTTAGTCTTATCAGTATAGAATGGCATTGTACAAAGAATATTCAAATTTTCTATTGTCATGAACATTTTGCAGCATAAATACAAAAGAAAGTGAGAATGCTTCCACTAATTTCTGCAAACTCCCATCAGTTTCCCCTATGCTAAAATCAATAGAATTTTTCTAACAGATTTGCTAACTTATTTATTCCCTACTACTGGACAAGTTTTTTCCCATGGACTTTGAAA